TATTCATTTATTCATTTATTTATTTACTCATCAGAATACATAAGAGCGCACCGTTAAAAAACCTCAGTGAAAACAAAAGCGAACTGAGTGCGCAGTTGGCAAATAGGTGATCGAGGTATTATACCGGCGGAAGATCAGGCCATTCTTCCTCTTGGGAGGTTGAGTTGTCCCCTAACGAGATCCTGTTCCCTAATCCGAGCACCATGTATGTATGGAAATTTACAGAGCTTGCGTAACCAACCTAACCTTCTTGGACATAAGCCTTTATTAGGACCCTGGGCGAACGGTAGGGGGAGCTCCAGCAAGATAGCCCACTGGACCTCTCCTATTCTAGAACGACTAACCGCCAGCAGTTGAAGAATAGAAATTCAAAACCAAATAAGTTTGCGATAGTCACGTTACATGTCGACTCACCTAGAAAATCTTTCTAAAAACGAACGAGAAATAATTTTGAAAGGATAACCTATAAATTTACATGATCAGCGGAACCTTCTTGACGAGAAGACTGGTAGCTGGCAAATTGGTTTACTGCAATAATCTCTGAAATCATAGAAGCATTAGAATCCTTACTATAATCTTGGAGATACGAAGTGAAATATGATGTGTGAAAACTAACCAGACGTCGAAAAATCGCTACAAAACTTGTAGCTTCGACCCGACAAATCCAAAAAGAGTGCTAAGATGTGCAAAATTACCTAATTTGCATTAATCGGGTGATAGTGCACTGCGCTGCGAGAAGCAGTGTATGCAAAAGAAGCAAAACGGTCGCGCGCTTCACTGAGCAAGAGCATGCTGAAGGTAACTAGGCATTGGAATTTGTTATAAAACCAATGCTTCACATGCAGCTGCAGGGAAAATACTTACGAATATACTTTACCAATATGTTATATATATACGTCGCCATATTTTGTCTGCTCGGTATGCTGATGGACAATCACACCTCGCACCATTTGCCTTACCTAAATTTTGTGTGTTAGTCTTTATTGTCTTCCGTTATAGTGATGTTTGTCTTCTTTCTGTTTTAAAGGCAACATTCACGCAAATTTCGTGTGCATATTTCGAGAGTCGCCAGTTCAGAGCAGAATAAGGCACGTACTGCAGCTGCAGATCCGTAGATACCGCTGTCATTGTCGCATTACGACTAGTGGATATTACTACTCAGATCTTTTTTGGTCACGACTGGAACTGCAAATGCCCGAAATTCGGTGATTCAGTGGTAGAATGCTCTCCTGCCACGTGGGCGAACCGGGTTAGTTTCCCGGCCAATGCCCTAAAAACTGAAACGGCGGTGTTACAATAGCCAGAATTAGCATGTATACGGTTTTTTCCAACCGGCCACGCCGGTTTTTTCTTGCTTCTGAGGGAATGAAGTTGGAATAACAGATTATGAGAATAACAGAATAAATTTATATATACACTGTACACTAACTGGCTATTGTAGACAACCCCATTTGCGATCGCAGCTAACGCGTTGACGTGGGTCTTGACGACGTATTGCCGTTGAGTTGCGCTCGAGCTGTTGTTGAGCGGTTGAGCCTCGATTGAGCGGTTGTGTCCTGAGCCTTGACAGCGTGAATCTTGAGAGTCGACAACGCGTCTTCGAGCAACATATACTGTATGCGGATTTCTGTAAATAAAGATCCGATGTGCTGATAACTAAAAAAAATAATAATGGGAATATGCAGTAATCTCGCCTGACCAAGTTACTGATTAGTAACTTGTTGCTACAGAAATGACATGACGAAACGAACGGGAAAAATAATCTATATCTGGTAGGCATTCGTCACGGGTGTTCATAATTGAACTCTTTGGTTCCTCACTGGAACCTGAAATGCCATTCGTACTTTTCACGCTGATTCTTGAGATTTGAGAGCCAGACTCTCACTTGTTACATCATAATACTCTCCCTCGCGACATTCATATTTATGTTTCCCAAGTGGCGACCTCTTAGTCATTCTCCTGTTTATGGCAAGATGTTCCTTCGGTTGCACATAAGACATGTCCCAATCTCATCTACGTATGCTGCCTCGCACGCCCGTTACAGAATTTAATATATAATATGTCTCATAATTATATGACACTTCTAATTTCGGACAATTTTT